CCCGGCTATTTTTTGGTTGCAGCCGTCATTGTTGTTTTGGCGGGTCCGGGCTGGGGATTCGAACCTGCCACCTTAGGTGTACGTGGCTGGCACCTTAGCCGGTTGAGCTATAGGCGCCGAGCCTACTCTAAGTCTTTAACAGTGAGGTTCCCAGCTTTGTTAGTGATAAGGGCTCTGTCTTTGGACAACACTAGATCCAGAATTTATGATTTAGAAAGTATTATGTGTGTAGAAATTTCTAAAACATAAGAAAATGTATTATTTAGACCTCACCTTGATTCAGTCCAAAGCCATCCTTGTTAATATTAATGCAACCAGAACCTGTGACTCGATGCCATCGTCGAACCAAAAATTTCATTCTAAAAGAGATTCCAAGATAAAATTTCATAACATATCTATAATGTAAAGAGTGAAAATATATATTTTCCACGAAAATAAAGCCATACATTTAAATATAAATAGAACAAATTTCAAAGTTCAATATAGTCATGATTGCCTAAACTATGTAAATGCCCCCTGATCTGTGACAAAATCAGTTGGAACAGATCCTCTCATCTATTTCCCAAGTGGCACCAGAGGTCTGTCACACTGCCAGCATCCGCCTCTGGATTTAGGGATAAGCAGGGCAAAGAAACAGAAGTAATAAAAAGTAGAGAAAAGAATGCAGAATAAAGGGCAGATGAGGTAGGAAGAGAACCAAGACCTTTAAATCAGCAGTAAGAGTGCCCTGGGAAAACTGGAAGATGGGGGAGGCTTTTCTTGTTTCTTTGATCAGGGACAAAAACTACTGATTTTGAAAGAAATGGGGTATTAGTGTCACAAACCAGGTGTAGCAAGATTCTGCCTATCTTGGCCCAAGGACCTTTTTGGGAGTGCTAGTTTTGATTTCTTATTTCTAATAAGTTTCCAGGTTCAGTCTTAGGAGGGTCAAATATAATAAGCATATATAAGAGGACAACAAAAAGAGGGTGGCAGAGTGAAGTCCTTCAGCAGCAACTTCTACACTGCTCATACTCCTCTAATCAAAATTACTAGCTAATTCCTGTGCCCTCCTATTTACTTAATGTCTCGTAAGTTCTGTGCATGGTGGTCTTCACCACTAGGAAGTGAGCTGCCTTTAGGGATTTAGCAGGGACCATGTCTTTTTTTCATCAACGCATCTACCAACCCTTACCCTGGTTATTCTACACGAGGGGATGAAGGGAATGAAAGGTATAAAAGGAAGAACTGAAACCAGGGGGCTGCAGAGTGGAGCATAGTAGAGGCAAGGAGAGTCTTAGGCCAAGCAGCAGCTCTAGCCTGAGCTCCCGTTTAGAGAACCGGCATGAAGGAGACTCTTGGGAGACCTGGCTGGCTGTTCCAGCTCAATCACTAATGGCTTTGTAACCCTCCGCCCCCCACCTCAGTTTCCTCAACTGTGAAATAAGATTCTGGACTAGGTGATCTCAGACAGCTTCTAGTTAAAAAAAAATTTCGTACTGTTAAAGAAAAATAATTTAAGGAAAAGGACAAAACTCCTCGAAGAAGTATCAGAGTGATCTGACTGGAAGAACTTTATAAAACAAAGTTCCTTTGAGACTGTCTGGCTCTTAGAGAAAAAAAAGGGAGGAGAATGCATGAAGAAGTCCAGGTTTTGTATGTACACCAGGTCAGAGGACTGCAGTGGGCCAGGTCCTCGAGGTAGCTGGAGTCTTGGCTCCATTTTAACTGCCTACAGAAAGAACAGCAGAGTCCTAGCTTGGAACTACCAGAGAAAGAATGGCAAACCACAAGCAGAGTCCTGTGCCCTAAGGGCCAACCTCTGATCTAAATGCAGAGTTAGGACAGAGATTTTCACAGCTGGGCACCAAGAGTGGGTTATTTTGCAATGAGGAAAATAAATGCTTGTCAGCCTAAGGAGTAATTTTTCAAAAACATGTTTTCCCCTTTATTTAAGTATCAGTTTGAGCTTATGAAGACTTTTTAAAAAGCCAACCCAGGTTGGATGGGCCAGCTATGAGTTATCAGCTCCATGTGCCTAGAAAGGCCCCTTTCTTTGGCTATATAAGGTATCCCTGCTAAAAGGGTGAAAGCCTAGAAAGAAAATAAGCAGGCATGTTTTAGTGATGGCACAGTCACCTACTATACAAATACAGAGCATAACTAGCAAAGAAAAGGGGGAGGAGGGCGTGATGGCTCACACCCATAATCCTAGCACTCTTGAAGGCCAAGATGGGTGCATTGCTAGAGCTCACAGGTTCGAGGCCAGCCTGAGCAACAGCGAGATCTCATCTTTAAAAATGCCAGGCATTGGCTCAGCGCCTGTGGCTCAAGTGGCTAAGGCGCCAGCCATGTACACCCAAGGTGGCGGGTTTGAATCCAGCCCGGGGCCGCCAAACAACAATGATGGCTACAACCAAGAAATAGCTGGGCATTGTGGCGGGCGCCTGTGGTCCCAGCTACTTGGGAGGCTGAGGCAGGAGACTCGCTTGAGCCTAGGAGTTGGAGGTTGCTGTGAGCTGTGATGCCACAGCACTCTATCCAGGGGGACAGCTTGAGGCTCTGTCTAAAAAAAAAAAAATGCCAGGCATTGTGGCAGGCACCTGTAGTGCCAGCTATTCAGGAAGCTGAGGCAAGTAGATTATTTGAGCCCAAGAGTTAGAGGTTGCTGTGAGTTATGTTACCACAGCACTCTACTGAGGGCAATAAAGTGAGACTCTGTCACACACACACACAAAAGGGGAAGTATTAAAAAAATAAGTAATCCTTTTAGAGAGTCTATGAATGAAATGCATTTCAATACTTTACCTTGAAATTGCAATGGACACTCTGACGGCTGATCGAAACCTGGTGAAGCCCTTTGGCCGGTTGGTGATCACCTCTAGATCTGTGAAGACTGGCTGACCCCCCATCCGGGCAAGCAGCGCCAGGGTGGCATCTTCACATTCTTGGAACCCACCCAGTAACAGCAGCAGGTATTTCTTCTGATAAATGAGAGCTTTTCGAAAACTTTCTGCTCTTAGATATTTACCATAAATTCTCTATTTTTAAAGAAAGAAAGAACATAATGAAATTAAGAAGGTGTTCAAATTGTTTTCTAGGGGAAAATAACCTAGATTTTAACAACAAGAAAAAGTAGTAATAGTAGTAACATAATGACAAGTACCCCATCACTGTTGTCTACTTTAGCAGCAGGGATGATGGGATAAGTTAACTTTAACCTTTATACATCAGCCTGGGCAACATAGTGAGACCCTGCCCCTACAAAATTTAAAAAATTAGCCAGGCATGGTGTTGTGTGTCTGTAGTCTCAGCTACTCTGGAGGCTGAGGCTGGGTGATTACTAGAGCCCAGATTTTTGAGGTTGGGGTAGTGGTGAGTTACAACCACACCCCTGTGCTCTGGCTTAGGTGACAGAGTAAGGCCCTATTTCTTTTAAAAAACAAAAAAAGGCATAAATTTATGTTCACTATACAGGTAGAATAAATATTCTCAAAGTTTCTCTTTCCTTTTGTCTTGGATTTTGAGTTGACCAAGGTAGTTTTCCTACAGTGTTCATTATTAGTCACTAGAAGAGGCCATACAGAGGGCTTATCATCTCACAGAGCATGATGCTCTTGCATTGGCAGTAATACAGGTTGTGTCAGAAGTTGAAAAGATATCATTCTGTTAGTCTACAAGGGCAGAAATTGTCGGGAGTGGAACCAGGAGCCCAGGGTGCTGTCACTTCTATTAATATAGAGCTTCATCTGGTCCCAGTCCTAAGTACGCGTCTCCATATACCTGTGTCCACCTAGAGACCGGCACTAATGACACAGACTAAATAAAGAGATACAGCCTGAGTCCCGCCTAATTTCTTTAGTCTGTTCAATTAAGGTCAGTAAGAGATAAAACAAGGCAAAAAGAAATCAGCTGTGATGTACGTTTAGCAAAAGATGTCTCCTACCTTTAAAGCAATGTGTTCAGAATCAGAGGTCAGATTCTGAAGTAAAGCCTCATTTCTTAGTTCAGCTTTCAGCTTGCACACTTCAGCCTCTGCCCTTTTCAAGGATTTCTGAAGAGCTGACTTTTCTCTGTTCCATATCTCTTTCTCAGAAGCAATGATGGCTTCGATGTTGGCACCACCACTGAGTGAAAACCTAGAGGACTGCAAAGACCACAGCCTACTGACATGATTTTAAAGAACAAGACTCTGAACAAAGTCTGAATGAAACATATTAAAAACATCCCCATGACAGACAGAATTTCAGCTTACCAACCTCATCCAGAGAAAGTTCAAAGCCAATCTCAACTGACATAATGGAACTCTTAAATATATGATCCTCTGCTGAATAGGTTAATTTTATAACTAAAAGTCCTTTACAAGCCTGGCCAGACAGGGTTAGGAAGATTTTAGCAGAGCTTTGGACTAAAAAAGTCAAGAGACTTAACAAGTGGACCATCTAGGTCCAAATTTTGAGCTGGTGCCTCCAATGGTACACTGGAGGAGTAGAGCAAAGATGCCGGGATGCACACGGGTCAGCAGATTCCTGCAGAAGCCACCTACGGGTGCTGCCATGGATCGGACTTCAGCCGTCTTACAGGTCTTTCCTGTTCTGTATATGGGATAATTATGGAAGCTGGCAATTTATTTCATAGCTTTTTTAAGTGTAGAAAAATTTTGAGTCAATTCCCAGAGTAATTTATTGGACCGAAAAACATAATTCCAGCATCTTTCACTTGCGTCACAGCACATTAACTGATGAAGACCTGAAGGGAACTCCTGTCAGGATTCACACACGAGCAGCTCTCCCACACGCCTGGGTCAGTCCCTAGGCAGCCCGGGGTCTGGCTCTGTAGATAAATATATTTTGGTCTGACTAAGACTTCAGCTCAGCCTCCTCATGGATAAAGCTGGATGTGTAGCAGAAATTCTGGATGTATATAACCCAGAGTCTAGTACAGAGATGACTCCTAGCAGTGATTACTGGTAATTTAGTAATTAGTAATAATATTGTTAATCCTATATAATTTTCCACAGATCCTAAGAATTTTTTACAGTACCAGGGTTAAGAATGAAACTAGATGGCAGAAATGGAAACTTCTAAAAATAGACATACATAATCTCTACCAGCTCCTGTTGGTCGATACCACCTGATCTGCTCTTCTAGCTTCATAACCGTGTTTCTTAAATCATTCTTTTCTTCAGTGAGTTGGCTGATATGTCCTGTCAGCTCGGCATTTTGTCTCAGCAGTCTTTCAGTCAATGAGCCACAGGAAGTACTTGAGAACACCAAGCGGGGCTGAAAAATAAATAAATGGCGTAAGGTCACAGAAACACAAATGTACGTGAATGATGCATATTAAAGTGTGAACAGGCACTTAGAGCAACACATTTCATGAAGAACTGGTGCTCGGGCTGAGTCTTAAATCCACGGGTCACTATATAAGTTTTGAGACACATTGTGTTATGGTCTGCTGTTTCATTCCCAAGAAACACAATGACAGCATCCTTTCTGATTCCTGTGACCAGGTTTCCGGTGTGTTGCTGTGACGGCTTCATTTGTTTCCATCCATTCGGACTTTCTGTTTCCTGATTTTTGAGTATCTCAAAACTCTTATGATGACCCATGTAATAGGCAGAAACTTACCAGGCAAGAAAGAAGACAAGGACGACCATAGTAAGCTGGAGGAACAGTGTATGTGGAGGAAAAAGGCTTCAGTGAGACGCACTGCCTTAGGGAAGCTGTAAGTTACTTGGTAAGGCTACAGCAAAAGCTGTTTAACTTGATGGATAACAGACCTAAATGTGGGGGATGGAGAGCCATGAGTGGCTTTATATAGAAGTATGCCACAAACAAAATTTAGGCGTTAGAGGTCAAAGGCACAGAACTTGGTTAGTGACTATACAGATGTGCAGTTAAGAGTGAAGGAACGGGCTCGGCGCCTATAGCTCAACCGGCTAAGGCGCGAGCCATGTACACCTAAGGTGGCGGGTTCAAAGCCCCAGCCCGGACCC